AATTAATGAATAGAATAGGTAAAACAAATAAGCTTAACATGCTGGCTGCTATTATTATTAAGTGATTATTTTCCATCTTTGCTACCTTTGGCCTTAGGCCCTTGATCTTCCCCTTTCACACTATATTCTTTCCATAAGCAATCCTGTTCCAATTAATATCACAATGATGACTCACAAATTCGTATTTCAAATTCAGATGTCTCTTCAGTACTTCAGAGCCATATATTCAAACACCTCCTTAACATGTCCCCTTGGCCATATTAAAGACAACTCTTAACTTCATAAGTCTAAGATGGCACTCATAATCTGCCCCCTTGGACATGTCATCCCTCACTCTTCATCTCCAGCAAAACACCAATTGTGAAAGCCAGATATAGGATACACTCTGTAACATCCTTAGAAATTCTCTCATCTCTTTCCAATTCTATCTTCTCTACAAACATAACCCCAATTTAAAATGCAGAATGTCTCTCTTGAAAAAAACCTCCTAACCGGTTTACACCCTCCAAACGATTCTCAAAACATCAACTCTGAGGCCTTCTAATCATTCAAAATACTATGGGTTAGTTAAAAGTACACTGTAGTTATACCTCCTATACTGACTTATATATAGAATTAAACAGACCTGAGATGATTCTGACCATTAAATGAATCTCTCTACAGGCCTAAAATTATTTTCTAGCTACCTAAAGTTTGGTAAATTATTTAGCCTTTCCGAGCTTCAATTTCTATAGCTGCAGAATGGAAGCAATAGTACTTGACTTCCTATACTGTTGTCAAGAGTACCTTAATAATGGGAATAAAAAGCTTAAAAGCTTAATTCAGTGCTTGCTACTGCGAACTAAATAAATGTTAGCTAGTAAACCAAGCTGAGTGTAATGTTCCCACTGCCTGAGTTCTGGTCCTCATCTCTTGCACAGCCTATTTTAACATACCCCAACTGGTCTCAACCACAGCCCAAAGCATATTGTAGGCTTTAAGAAAAGTCAGGTAAATCTGGTCTTCTTTAGTACTTTAGGATTAAACTAAAGATCACGTTCAAACTTCTTTGAGTTTGGCATATGATCCAGCCCGTTTACCTTCCTCATTTCTTCCACAGTCATTTCCCCCAATGTGCATCGGATTCAGACCTATCAGCATACTTGAATTTACTATAGTACCACCTCTATTGGGCCAGCTCCTTTCAACTTGGGTTTTTTTCTGTCTGCAATGCTTATGTCTGCACTAATTATCAAATTACTAGTTATCTGGAATTTACAGAAGAGGAAAACTGCAGCTCAAAGAAGTGAAATGACTGGCCAGGATCACATAGGTGGGTGACTAGACAAGACATCAAGGCAGGTGGTTCCCTTTATTTATTTATTTATTTATTTTTAGAAATTTATTTATTCATTTGAGAGACAGAAAGAGAGCACTAACGCACACAAGCAGGGGGAGTGGCAGACAGAGGGAGAGAGAGCAGCAGACTCCCCATTGAGCAGGGAGCCCTATACAGAGCTCAGGGTGGTGCTGCCTCTCAGGACCCTGGGATCATGACCTGAGCTGAAAGAAGCCATTTAACTGACTAAGCCACCCAGGTACCCCTCAAGGCAAGTGTTCTAGCACGATATTAGCACTTTTCAGACTTTTCCAATGAGCACTCCTGCTGAGAGAAGAGTTTAACTCCCATCCTAGAGGTCAAGAAAGGCCTACACCCAAGACTCTGAAGAGCAAAATGAATCATTTTCAAAGTCAAAAACTTTAAATAAGTTGAGGATATAGAGGCTCTCACAGTTAGAGCTCCCCATGTGCTAAATTGAATACAAATCCAAGTCTGTCTGTTCTGTGGCTATAAATTCATTCCACAAACCTATCGTCAGCCTTCATTTTCATCACTATTCAGAAGGATGTAATTAAAGACAGTATCATACAAATGGGTAAAGTTACTATTACTTTCTTAAAATAAAATCAAGCATAGCCAGAGTGTTTAGGAAGAGGAGAAAGAAGACTGCCCTGAGGACTCTTATATCCCTAATGTAAGAAAGGCTGAAGACAAAAGGAAATCCAGGGATCCTAGGCCAAAGCTGAGTTTTCTTAGGATAATACACTTCTACAGAGTAGGGCTTCTCAACCAGGGCACCAACTGAAAACTTAGGCCAGATCATTCTTTGCTATGGAGAGCTGTCACGTGCATTGTGGGCCAGTTAACCATCTACCTACTAGATGTCAATAGCATTCCACCCCAATTTGTGAAAAACAATCTCTAGACTTTGCCAAATGTCTCTCAAGGATAAACCACATCCATTTGAGTACTCTAGAGTGTACTCAGATATACACCTGGTATAACCTTGTTCTGAGAAGTAAACATCAGAAGAATTCAAGACTCTGATTCTTGATTCTAGACAGGAAAATCATGAGAGAAAATAAGACACCTCTCCCTATTTGCACAGGACACCAGGATAAAAGAAGAAAGTATTTGTGGCTTCTCAATGCTAATTTGCCATAAGAAAGTAAACTGAGTGGGATTTGACTTAAATTCCTTATCAAAAAAATCCAGGTGAGGCTTCAAAAACAACGAGACATTTAAGACTGTATTCTGGGTGCTGCAGGAGAGGAAAGAAAAGAATCCAGGGCTGAGTTTCTACTTAGATGACAGTATTTGGTCTCTAGTTTAACAACATAGTGATAAAAGGAAGCAGCTCAACATGACACTACCCTACTTTGATACTGTATAAATGAACATAATCTCCTTTACCCCAGCGAAAGTCCAACACTAAAAATATACATGTGAACATTCAGTCACAAGAAAACAAAAAGTTATTTTACATAAAGGCAGAGCCTTCAACATCTGCAATTCTGAAAGCCTAGCTTTTATGTTTAATAAAATGCAGCTCACTACCCTTGGCAGCTATTCCCATAGCATTTGCTAATAAGTGAGAAAACAAAGCAGGATCCTGTGGAAGTTAACCAAAGCAAAAGGTTTGTAGGGGTGGGGAGTTCACATGTGAACACACACACACATACTTCCACGTTTTTGGTATTTAAGACTATTTTGTCTTTATCCTTAAAAAAAGAAATTCAACTCTACTTCGCATATTTTATTATTATTGCTTTTAATCTTCCACAATTTGATGTTTTCCCAGGAAATTTACCATAAATTTTAAGTAGCCTCCTAAAGATCTAGCTAAAATGAAGAATTAGAGAGTTCACATAAACTACAGTGTCATGAGCCTCAGATTTCCTATCTGTAAACTGGCATAAATAAAATTTACTTCTTAAAAGTTGCTGTGGCGAGGGCACCTTGGTGGCTGTTAAGCAGCTGCCTTCAGCCCAGGTCATGATCCCAGGATCCGAGGATAGAGTTCCACATAGGGCTCCCTGCTCTGTGGGAGGCCTGCCGTTCCCCATGCTTGTGCTTGCTCTCTCTCTCCCTTGTTCTCCCTGTGTCAAATAAAAAAGTAAAATCTTTAAAAAAATAAAAAATAAAAAAGTTGCTGTGGCGATCAAATGAAGTCCTGTGTGGCCACTATCTGGGGGCCAAAAATACACTCAAGAAATGGATACCATTTCTACTGCTGTAACTATTCTACATCAACTTCTCCGAAACTCCTGTTTCTTCCACAAACTCTGAAGAGAAGAACACGTTTTGGAGAAAGAATATATTTTAGAAGCACATCTTACATATGAAAAGACAAGGTAAGTATTTGTGTTGATAAAGATTTGTAATGATAAAGTAGGCTAGGGCAAAGAAAAATAAATGGTGTTTTTTTTGAGAATTCTCCCGTCAAATACACCTGACCGCCAGCAGCTCTGCCAGAAGCCAATGTTCCTTCCCCTGCAAAAAAATTTTTAAGGAAAAAAAAAAAAGAAAAAATGACAGAAAGAGGACAAAGGAGAAACAAAGCAATAATATGACAGACCAGAGGAAGGGTTACACAAGATAAGTAAATTCTACAATGACAATATTCTCCTAACTCTTCCAAGAACAACAGTAAAAGGTCAGATGCCTTCCAAAGAAGCTGGGGTTTAGATTTCACTGTTTATCTAATTAATAGAATACCAGTGGAAACAATTTTTCTTCCCAGTAGCCAAAATCTACTATTAGGTGAGTTAAGACATACACTTACAAAGCATTGCTACGCTATGCCAAGTTCTTCCTCCAGAATTATGTTTTTTAAAATTTTATTCATTCAACAGCAGCTCCACTAAAATGGATTTTAGAAGTATTAGTAACAAAATTCAAAATTCTGAATTTACCTAAGAAAATGTCAATTCCTTCCCCCAGAAATCTATCCAAATAAAATGCAAAGTTTCTTCAATTCTCTTTATCTGGAGATAATAACCGGGTAGACAGCTGAAATGAAGTTGCTGGGAAACATACTTACAAACACCCTTTTAAAGAGCCCCCAGAGTACATGCCATTAAGAGATCACTCCACAGCTGAAGTATATCATAAGCATACTCCCAACAAATGCCCTGCGCATTAACAGCTCTGCAACAAGACTTCTACGGTTTTTAGCCCTCAATTAGCTCCTGGTAGGTCCAGCAAAAACATGTACTCTATAGTCCGAACCCTTTCAACAATTACATCAAGGAAGGCTTACACGGCCATGGGGTAGAATTCTAGTCCAACCTCCTTCATTTTAGAAAAGGGCCTGCAGTGAGGAATGAAGTTAACTTTCACAGCCTTTTGATATCAAGGCCCACCCAGAACTGAGAGCTCCAGCTTCCAGGTACAAAGCCCGTACACATACCCCGGGAGGGGCCAAGAAGGGTAAGGCCTCTGAGTCAGACTACCTGCAACCTCACCCATCTCACCTGCCAACTGTTTGTACGACCTTGAGCACCTACACTTCGCGTCTCAATTTCCACGTCTGCAAAATGAGAGTCAGGACCCCACGCCCTGGGGCCGTCGGAGGAGTCAAGGCGCCGGGAAGCGCTCCGAGGCTCCCCGGCTCCCGGACCTGGGTAGGCGCCGCCGCCCATCCGCTCCCAGCGCGCCAGGCACTCGTGGCACCCACCTGCACGTTAGGGAAGGCGGTCTTAAGCAGGTAGAACATCTTGCGGTTGGACAGCACGTCCCCGCTGGTCATCTTGTCCTCGGCTCCTTCGCGCGTCTTCCCCTTGGACTTCTCGTGGAGGACGTTGCTCTCGCGGACGCGCCTCACCTCGTCGCCGCCGCGAACAGCGGCCAACACCGACACGGCCAGCATCTCGCGGAGGTCCACCGTGCCCCCATCGGCCGCGGCCGCGGGCCCCGCCGCCCCGCCGCCGCCCGGCTCGCCGCCCAGGCCGAAGAGGCTGATGCGGCCGGCCAAAAAGCCCGAGTACAGATGGTAGAGTACGCCGAGCCCCAGCAGGCAGAACACGGCCACCCCCAGCGGGGACAGGCGGATGCCCATAGGGGCCATGGCGCGGGAGGCCGGCGCTCGGGGCGGCGGCCCTCACAGGCCTCCCGGCGCCCGCCGCCGCCGCCGCGCTCCCGGGCCGGGCGCCGCGCTTCCTACACCGGCTTCCGCTCGCCGGCGCGCGCGCGCCCCATCGCTCCCTTCCGGGAAAGGCCGAGCCGCGCCGAAAAGCCCACTGTTGACGTGCCGCGCGCCCAACTGTCCCGGGCAGCGCGGTCCCGGGTCCTCAGCCGGGCAGCGGGTCTCACTTCCACGTTAGCCAACGGCTGCGAGGTGAAAGGGGAGCGTGGGTGTGTATCCGGGTTACGCGAGGGGGCGGGGTGGGGCGGGGCAATATAGGCTCCGCCCTATGGGCGGGGTGACCCTGGGGGTGGGACGGTGGTCTACCAGCTCTGGGAGCCGCTGGATTGCTCCTCGTCCTTTAGTCCGGATGGAGGAATGTTTGAGTTTTCGAATCGTTCTTGCGTGTGACGGAACAATTTTCCATGGAGGGAAGGTGCTGAGTGCCTTGCGCAAATTTAAATTAAATCTCTCTTCGAATGAAGATGTATGGCTGACATGAGGTCTAGTCTTTAGTTTTAGAGTTCCCATCGCTCTCAGATTATTGGCGAACGGAGGAAATTACAAGCCATTTTCAGAGAGATCGGTATGCTTTTTTTCTCTGGCGCTCATGGAGACAGACCTGTAGCTTTAAATCGCTTCTCTGCCCTGGGAGAGGTGGGCAGTGACCAAGACTGGAGAATTTTACTTGGCTCTTTAGTGTATTGGTCTCTCTGTGGTTATCTAAACGTGTGTGCATTTACAACTGTATGTTTATATAGATTTTTCCCTATACCTCAATCTGCAAGAATAAACCATCCTTTATGCGGCTGAAAAACATGGCTTGATTCTGGACTTACGTGTGAAAGAAAATGCCTGGGGCTTCTCTTCTTTCCAGGGATACTTTATGCGTACCTTTCTTCCAGAGGTCCAGATGGAAGAGGAAAGGTCTGAGAAAGCCCACTTGATGTAAAGATTATTACAGGATGGTCAGTCAATCTAGAATATGTAATCTTTGAGTCAATATAGGCCTTCCAAATGTATTTGGAGAAGCCTTTAACAGATGTAACTGCCTTGTATGCCACTTACCTTAGCAGTCATAGTTAATACTAAATTTTAATAAGTATTATAATAAGCATTAATAAATTCCTCTTCCATCTCATAAATGAATATTAGGATGTGCAGTATCACTCTCAGGTATTAGAACAGTTATATAAAATCAACTTAAAATGCAGCCTATTTTATAGTTCATAGGCAAAAGTCATTGGTTTTAAGTGGGCTTTAATAAACATTAATGACCTTAAAAACTGGAAATATACGAAATGGATTCTGAACATCCTTTGTTAAGCAAGTCCTTAGAGACAGGCTGACCTTCACCACTTCTCAGAGTTAGAACATCTGTAGAATTTGCATATGGTTATATAGATACAATAAACAAAGACTTTTGATTGCTTGGTTTCCCTGGCAGCAGTCTGTAACCAGCTTAAAAATAATCACAGCACAGAATCAAGCACAAATAAAAATCAATGAAAGAACAGTCTCTGGAGTTTTGACAGCACCAGATCTTAAGGAACTGGCACTGTTTTTGTCAGCTTTTGGGAACAAATTCACAATTAAGCAAAGCTGCTTTCAAAAGAAATTTGAAAGTGAAGGTCACAGGGTAATTATGGCTACCAAATCCAGAGATAAAGATCAGGGTTGAAGTAGACTTAAAAGTTCGACAGAACCACCTCAAACTATACTTACTATGAGATCAGCAAAAGATACGGGTTGGGGAGTAGTGAAAATATTCAAAGCATCATTAGATGATGCTTTTTTGGATAAGGTTTGTAAAAATAAACTGAATAATATTTTCCAAGGATATTAAAGAGAATTGTTGGCCCCATTCACTGTGACATTATACAAAGCACCAGTGAGACACCCAGAGGGATACTGAGAGCTCTGGCAATTTATGCTGCAGGGAAAGGATTAAAGAATCGAAGGAGAAAATGCCCTGAAACAAAGAGTGAGTTTAAAGATCACAGTTCCGATAAATAAATAAATATCATAGTTCCAAAAGGGGCTCTAGTATGCAGGTGACCACAAGGAATAGGTAATAGATACTGATAAAATATAGCATGTGATCATTAAGAGAAACTGTGTGATGAGAAAATGCAATTAATTACATGTGGGACAGTGATGTTGTCTTAGAAACTTCACAGGAATTTGATTGCAAGAAACTTGCTTTCTCAGTAGCAAGTGGTCAGAGGCTCTAAAGAATGCTTCACTGGGTAGCCTGGGTGGTGCAGTTGGTTAAGCATCTGACTTGGTTTTGGCTCAGGTCATGCCCTCAGGGTCATGATATCAAGCCCAGCCCTGTGTCCCACTCCATGCTTAGTACTGAATCCGCTTGAGATTCTCTCTCCCTCTGCCCCTCCTGCTCTCTCTCTTTCAAAAAACAAACAAAAAAGAATGCTACATACCAGTGAAAATTATATGCGAGTAAATGTAAACTAAAAGGTTTGTGAACTGAGGCAAACTGGACTTTCAAAAATAACTTTTTTTCTAAGTTGAAGAAGATGAGGACTGCCTATATTCTGTATAAATACCAATAGCAACAAGAGTTGACACACAATGGAAACTTCCTTAACAACTTACCCCTTCCCTGGCTTGGCAGACCCTGCTTGCTCCCATCTGCGTGTTTATACACAGTAAATGCCACCTTTTGGAGCACTGCTTTCTCCTACCCCCACTATTAGAGCTTTAAATACTTCTTAAGGGTTAATTTTGTTTATTTCAACCTCATTTTTCCATTGTGGTTACTATCAAAAATACATACAAGTTAAATGTTATTAAAACAGTAAAATATGAGTATAAATCTAAAGCTGAAAGCTTTGAATGACTTGATATGGGTGAGTCATTAAAAACAAAAATTACTATCAAATTAAGTGTTGGAACAAAAACTGTATCCGAGGGACGCCTGGGTGGCTCAGTTGGTTAAGCAGCTGCCTTCGGCTCAGGTCATGATCCCAGCGTCCTGGGATCGAGTCCCACATCGGGCTCCTTGCTCATCGGGGAGCTTGCTTCTCCCTCTGCCTCTGCCTGCCATTCTGTCTGCCTGTGCTTGCTCTCTCTCCCTCTCTCTCTCTGACAAATAAATAAATAAAATCTTTTAAAAAAAAAAAACTGTATCCGATTGTAAAGAAAAAGAATCATAAAAGCTCAAACCAATGCTGAAGTCAGATTGCTTTGACTTTAAGGAAACCAGGCTGGTCATCTTAGGTAACGCATTACCCATGTGGTTGAAAGTGCAACTAATGAATATACTGAAAGAAAACCCTTTGTCTTGTATAAAAAGATAGACAAATGATTATATATTCAGATATTTACATCTACAACCCACTCCTTTCTTGATTATATTAGACAAAGAACCGCCCCTTAAAGTCTGGATATTGCTACCTTCCTACAAATACCACCTTTCTTTATGCTCTCCATTATGTATGAAATAAATAATATCCATGTATAGAACATTATTGAGATCTTAAATGATGAGGATATTTTGACTTGTCCGAATGACTCCTGGGCCCAGAATTTATCTTGGAGAAATGGATGTGTGTGTGAAATCTCTGCCAGCTAGTTTTCTTCTTTGGTTCTTCTTTGGAAAGAGCATTTAATGGGGACAATGAAATTAATTAAGTGTTCAGGCTAGATGAACCTTACGGAAAAGTGGTTTTATTACTTTTCTGAGAAAGCAAGAACTGATGGCATTTCTTCATGTTTAAAATATTCCAAGAAGAATATTATTTGCATATTCTTGCTTTAAACAAGTTGAGCCTATAAAAACAATAATTCTGTTTTGTAATAGACCGAGTGATATGGTGCTTGGTTCTGCCATTAAAGTTCTCTCTATAGCAGATCATATAATTCTTGGGATAATGGCTTTCACATGTTAAGATTTCATATGCCTATTTCTAAAACATGATCTACATCCATTCTTAAAATTGATTTTCCCAAAGATTTAGAAATACTCCACTTAAATAGGTAACTTTTTCAATTGATATAAAATAATGTGTTAGCACTGTAACCTTCTACTATGGCTCTGATCTTAGCAATAATAACAGCAAATACTTATTTTAAATAGAGGCAATGCGGTAGGTATGTAAAATAGAAAATTGCATATAATTTCTACCCTTCGAAATTGTGATCACTCTAATCCACATGATCCACATGAAGTCAGGTAGATATTTTACATATCTTTCTATCCTCTGACTTTTTGCATATATGAACTCAGATATTTATGAAAGTGGACTTTTAAAAACTAGTTTTAATGAAATTTTGTCTATTGTGTAAAGTATTCTTAAAAATCTTGAATTTAACAAATACATTGAGGACCCAACATTCCTTTTGTCTGTCCAGAACTTTCATTTCATAGGCATACAAGTCAGAAAAAATATTTGCTTTGGAGCTGTTAAGATGTCAAGTATTTGTTAATTTTTGTGTGTGCTCCTTATTAAATCCAATGCCTAGCAAAGCATCAATTTAGTTAGTAATATAAACTTTCCCACACTATATTTTATTCTCTGAATGGTCCAAATTCATACTACATATTTTCTCTGCTATCTACCTGTGACCAGAGGTAAAATTTATCTTCTTAAAACTCCATTTAGTTAAAAAAAAAAAATCCCACAATATAGTATCTAAAATTTCCTAGTCTCCAAAAATAGCAGTTGAGTATGTTTATTAATCACGATCAGACTATGTTATTTATGGCATTGTGTTTATGATTTATATTACAGAATAACCCCTATAATACATGTTGCTATTGCACAATCCTGGGTAAAATGCAAGCCAAGTCATGTCACCCAGAATGTAAGAACTCAGTGTATTTAATAATATCTTAGCCAATGTATCTCAAATGTATTGTCAACGAGAAAAGGTGAAAAAAATATTTTTAAAGGAAAGTTGCCCTAACACTGTTTGCCCTACTACATGAAATATTCTTCTGTGTGTTTAAACCCTCTG